AGAAAACAAGAAGGGCCACATGACTACAGAGTCAGAGATTGGAATAACAGAGCCACAAGCCAAGGAATGCTGGCAGCCAAAAGGAGAAGGAAGAGGCAAGGAACAGACTCTCCCCTAGAGCATTCCAAAGGAATGCAGTCCTGCCAACACCTTGATTCCAGTCTATTGAAATTGATTTCAGACTTCTGGTCTACATAAATTGTGCACTTCTGTTGTTTCATGCTATAAAGTTTATGGCAATTTGTTAACAGAAGAAATTTGGAGCGATTATATGGGATTATGTAAATTATGCTGTGTTTTCAGTTTAAAGATTCATTCAGTCAGTCAGTCAACACAGAAATAATTGAAGCAATATAGTAGAATAACTAAAAATGAACTCTGAGTTCACCCTGGATTTATGCCTCCCACTGCCTGCCGTCACCTGCTGGCACTGTGGGGCATACCTGTAATCCCAGGGACTCTGGAGATTGATGCAGGAGGATTGCAGATACCAGACCAGCCTCTGCAATTTAGCAAGATCCTGTCTTAAAAAATAAAAAGGTCTGGGGATGTAGCCTCATGGTAGTGTGCTCTTGGATTTAATCGTCAGTACTGAGGGGAAAAAAAAAGTAAAAGCAGATTTTGGATTCAATTCAACTTGGGGGCAAATTCACTTCCCCCTGCCTGCTGTCACCTGCTGACTGTGTGACCTTAAGCAGATTGTTTAATTCTCTAAGCCTCAGTCCCAATATCCTCACAATGGGAACGGTAACAGTACTTGAACTCAAAAGAAGTTTGTGAAAATTACATGAGAGCTGGGGATGTAGCTCAGTGATAGAATGCTTGACTGGAGTGCGCAAGGACCTGGGTTCCATCTCCAGCATGAAAGAAAGAAAAGCAAAGAAAATCATTGAGAATTTGCAAGTAAAGAGATTTGTAAATTTGTGATGGATCCAGGGTTTCTACTCCTCCCTGGGCCATAAGAGGGTTCTTTGTCATTCTGAAAGGGACAGTTCAGAGACATCAAGGCTTTGAATGTAAATTCCAGAGGGCAGTGTTGGAGTCACTGATGGGAGAGGTGGTAGGTGAAACTTCTTAAAGGAAGTGACTTGTAAGCCCCCTGAAAGACTACACAGTAAACTTAAAAACATGGATACTGGGGTTGTTTTATTTTTTTTACTGTTTTGTTTTGTTTTGGTCCTGGGGATTGAACCCAGGTGTGCTTAACCACTGAGCCACATCCTCAGACCTTTTGATTTATTTTTATTTTGAGACAGGGTCTCACTAAAGTTGCTGAGGGTCTCGCTAAATTGCTGAGGCTGGCTTTTAACTTGTGATCCTCTGACCTCAGCCTCCCGAGTGGCTGGGATTACAGGTGTGCACCACCATCCACAGCATGGGTACTATTTTTAATACTATTGCTATAAATGTAAATACATAGTCTTAAGTTATTACAGAGATCCTAGGAAAGATCGCTTTATCTGAAAAGTTGAAGACTGATGAGAATGATTTGAGATGGTAACTCTCTCTCTCTCTCTCTCTCTCTCTCTCTCTCTCTCTCTCTCTCTC